GGAAGGAAGGAAGGAAGGAAGGAAGGAAGGAAGGAAGGAAGGAAGGAGAAAAAATGAAGGGAGGGAGGGAGGGAGGAGAAACAAGGAAGGAGAAACAAGGTAGGGAGGGTGGAAGGAAGGAGAAACAAGGAAGGGTGGGAGGAAGGGAGGAAGGAAGCAAAGAATAGGAAGGAGAAGGAAAAGGAAGGAGAAAGAAGGATTGAAGGAGAAGGAAGGAGAAACAAGGGTGGAATGAATAGGAAGGAGAAAGAATGAAGGGAGGGAGGGAGGGAGAGCAACAATACCAATTCTTGAATCTAACTGGACCTGGTATTTGTCAAAAAAAAAAAACCACAGCCCTGGGGTCCAAACCTCCCCTCCCCCCCCCCGCCTTTGCCAAGAAGGGCTCAAAGGGCAGAAGGTCCTGGGAGGGGCGGGGGGGCAGGGACCCCAGATGGGGGGGAGGGTCACTGAGTGAGGGAGTGCACATGCACGTGAAGGCGCCCAAGGGCTCCCCCAGCACCCAGAAACCCCCAAGTCTTCCCTAGCCGTGGCCTGGGCCCCTCCCGTTTTCTCCTCCACAGCAGAGCCTGGGGCGAGGGCAAAAGGAAGCCCCCCTCCCTCCACCCCCACCAGGGAGGCAGGAGGGGAAAGAAAAGGGAGGGAGAAATTCATTTCCTTCCAGAGGAGAAGAGACGCAGCTGCGTTTCCACATGGAAACCATTTCTGGACTTTGTGCTTGAGGCAGAGAAAAATGGAGACTCAACTGGGGTTTTCTGATTACGTTAGGGATTTTTCAAAATAGAAATGAAATAAATTTAGGAAGAATGTATAACAGAAGTAAAAAGCTGAGGCTGTAATTTCACTTTGTATTTTTCTGCGCTGAAAACCCTTTTCCTTTCCTCCCTCCTTTCTCCCACACTTCTCCTCCCTTTTCCTTCCCTTCCTCATTTCCTCACTTGCTTGATTTGTTCTCTTTTCCACCAGGATCAAATAAGAATAAGAAAGAAATCACGAAGAAAACCATTGGGAAAAAGGACCCTCGTTTTAGCAGCGCTTCCTATTCCACCGTCCAGACCCGCAAATGTCTCAGGGGAAAAAGTGCCATTTCTATGTCCGCATTTTTATATCGGCCATTTCCCCCCAAAATGAAACTTGGCCTATTTTCTCTGCTGAAAGGATCGATTGTTGGACTTGGAAAGGATGGCGGAAGGTTTCAATTGCTTGAGGAAAGGAGAGGCGGCCAGATGGTGTTCCGGGATCTCCATCCAGGGCTGTTTGGCAAGGAAAAGGGGGGTCCCGACCCCAGAAAGAAAGGGGGAGATGCCTTCCCCTGGGGGCTGAGGGGGCGTCGGAAGGGGCTCTTCCAGCGAGAGAGACGCGGGTTGCAAGGACAGGAAACACCACTTTCTCCTGCAAAGCTGAGAGATCCCTCTGGAAATCCTCCCCCCTGTGAAGGCAGGGCTGAGGAGGGGATCCGGCTGGATTAGGGGGGATCCCAGCAGAACCTCTCTGCCTCTTCAAGCAGGGACTCTCAGCCGGGGTTTTTCCTGGCCTCCCTTCGGGTTGGGGGAGTGTGGGACCCCCAAGTCCTGGCTGGCTGTGGGGCTGCGCCTCCCCCCTTCTCCTCCTCCCAGGCTGAGCAGTGGGGGGGGGGCCCAAAGGACCCCTCAAACTCTACCTCCTCTTTGCCCTCTGTAGTCTCCGCAGCTCCAGTCTGGGTGCCCTCTGGGCACTGTGGGCACTCAAAGGGCATCTAGTCTGCCCCGCCAGGCACTCAGAGAAAGGGAGACGGGATGAGAATCATGGAGGGGGGAGCACAAAAGGAAGTTCCTCTGGAGGGGGCGAGGCTCAATTGGAGGGCTACCTAAGGGCATCTAGAGATGTTGGGGAGAAGCTGGGGGTCTTCCACTCAGGGCTGCCCCATTGAACCCCCTCCCTCTTTCCCGCAGAGCTGGTCTTTCCCTCCGTGGCAAATATCATTTACACCAGGAAAGGCTTCAGGTGGATTTATTGGAGATCATCTAGTCCAACCCCCTGCTTGGGCCTACACCATTTAGGTCTAGTCTATACCACTTGAATCTGAGCCCAAAAGAGGGAGGGAGGGGGCTGTGGGGTGCCAAAATGGGGCAGGATCTTCCTCCAGTTGTGAGGGAGAGAAATGGTTGAAATGGCCGGGTCAATGTAGGGGGGTCTCAGGTGCCCCCCAATGGCTCCCCACAAATGTTCAGGGAAGACTCTGCCTGCTGGCATTGTGCTCCTCCAAAGGGGGCTTGAGGGGAAGCAGAGCAAGGAGGCCTCTGAGCAGGAGGGGGGTCCTTCCCCTCCCCGGATCTGCCCACCATCCTCCCAAACCAGTTCTGTCTTTGGACCCCCAAAGGAGCTGGGATCCAGAGGCAGCAGAGGGGGAAGCCTCCTATGGGGGCGAGAAAGAGGAAGGAAGGAGTCCAGGGTTTCCTGCTTCTAAAGTTTATTCTTTCATAGCAAAGCGAAGGGAAGGGAAGTGATTCATAAGAAGAATAATGTAGATGAAGCTGCTGTGGGTTCAAAGCCAGGAGAGATGAAGGGGCTAGGGGACTAGGTCAGCCCAGCATCCCAGGGGACAGTCTAGATGGTCTCCACCCCCCTTCCCAAGAAAGGGAGGCCCCCAAAGGAAGCTACCGTCCTCTTCCTCCCCCCCACCTGCCACCTACAACCTCCATTTCTCAGGTTGCAAACAGGACAAAGAATCATCAGCTACTAAAGAATAAAATATCCTTTGCATCAGAGAGCAGGATTAATCCATGAGGGCTGCAGAAAAAGAGACAGGAAAGAAAATTAAAATACAAAGAGACATTTTTTGTGTAAGTAACATTTTTTTCTTCCCTTTCAGCCCCCCAACCACAAGTTAGGACCACACTGCAGGGGGTTGATTGACAGGCAGGGACAAATAGAGGGAGAATCTGCCCATTTCAGGGAGGAAAAGACTGGGAAAGACCAGGGATTCCTCCCCATTTCATCTCCAGGGGATTCTGGGATTCTCCCTCTTTGTCTTAATTAGAGGGTTAATCAAGAGGAGAGACCCCCTTCCCTCCCACCTGCAGACATTTCATATAAGCAAAGGACATGGGGCCAGGATGGGGGTTGAAGAAAAGGGAGGAGCCTGGGTGTCACTTGGCCAGAAATTATGTGAATTCCCAGAAGGAGAAGCAGGGTCAGGAAGAACAGCCTGTCAAGGTTCTGACTAGTGAACCCAAATGAGTCTGCATGGAGAGCCAAGAAGGATCATCTGGGACTGGGGGGGGGGGGGGGGGGGAAGGGGTCCAGTTCAAAGTAGAGTTTTGGAGGGAGTTCATGAAGGTGATAGGGTCATCATTCTCAAGGGCTTCGCTCCACCCTCCATCCGAGTATGGACGGAGCTGCAGAACGAGCTAACGCTATTATAGAACAATACCTGAGATGCTGTGTTAATTATCAGCAATCTAGCTGGGATTGCAATTTGCTGAAGTGGCCCAAAATACCACAGTGCAGATTAACATGGGACTCACCCCTTTTAAAATAGCCACAGGGGTGGAATTTGTCCTCATGCCCGAATCCCCTCAGGAACCCTCCCTCCACAGTGAGCCTAAAAGGATGGGTGGGTTGTTTACGAACTATTGGGGGTGGGGGGAGAAATGTAAACCTGGGTTCCTCCTTCCCTTCCCTTTTGCAATTTCCCAAAACTTGGAAAAATTCTGCACAAGATTTTAGCATTTCTGTGTATTTTTCTTTTTGACTGCAATATTTTTTCTGATCTCTGTAAGGAAAAGCTGCCCAAAATCCAACAATTTGCTGTATCCACAGAAAGGAGATATTAAAAAAATATATTAAAAAAACACCTATAACTTGTAGGAGGGGCTTGTATGAGGGAGGAAGAGGAGAAACTAACCTGCAGGAGGTTCTATGGGAGTGGCTGGAAGGAGAAAAAGAGCCAATCAGGATCCTTCATGGGCTGGAGGAGTCAGGGTGTCCCCCCTCCCCACTGATAGCCGATAATACATTGGACGATCTTCCCTTATAGCCCCCTTGAGGAACAGAAGTTCCCAAAACTATTCCTCAAGGAGACCCTCTTGGCCACCTGCTGAGCTCGATGACAGGCCTCCCCTAGATGGTCCCCTCCCCACAACCTCTCCTCCAGCCCCCCAGACTCACCTTTCTTGCTCTTCAGGTAGGAGAAGAGCCCCACAGCCAGGAAGACCGCTCCAATCACAGCCCCCATGATCCCTGTCCAGAGTTTGCTCCTGGCAGAGCTGGAGGAACGGGGCTCTGGGGAAGGAGAAGGAGCCTCACCTGAGCAGGAAGATCAGGCCCTCCATCCCCCAGGAGGGTCCATTGCGGCTTCCCCCACAGGGAGGTCCTCTCCCCATCTCAAGCAGGAGGGGAGGGGCTTACCCCACTGGACAGTGATGGGGGCCTCCAGGCTGATGTGCCCCACCTGGCAATTGTAGATGTCCCCCCGCTGGGGCTGGGTCTCCAGCATCACCTGGAGCTGGTAGGTCCAGTCTCCATTCTGGAGCTCCTCCCCGAAGGCCACGCCCTCCTCCTCCAGCTTCCCGTTCTTCAGCCACTGGATCTCGATCTCCAGGGGGTAAAAGCCCCTGGCGGTGCAGAGGAGGATGGTGTTGAGGGAAGCGGGGTCCAACTTGGTGGGGGAGATGGTGACAGTGGGCTTGGCTGGAGGGAAGGAAGAGAAAGAGGCACACGAGAGGCACAGGAGGGCCCAGAACAGGAGACCAAGTTGGTTAGTTCAGGCCAGGATCCCTTTTCACTCCTGAAAATATTCTGTGTTTTGAGACATCTTTCAAAGTCAATTGCAGCAAAAAATTAAAAGGGATCCTGAAAGAGGGAAAAAAAATGAAATCTTTCCTGATTGGGATCAGTTGTAGTCTCCAAAAAGGAAGAATTCCCCAAATAGGCAAATCTGACAGGGATAAACACTAGAAACGGCGAGAGGTGAAAGGAACCTGTTTAGTACATTTAGTTATTTATTAAATTTATTTGACAAAGTGGCCAACTAACCAACAGAGTTACAGACCCTCTCCTAGCCGTGACTGCCACCTGCTCTTCGGGAGTCCAGAAGAATCTCCAGAATTGGGAACTGAATATACAGAATATGGAGGAAAAAAACAGAAATGGTGACAGAAGGAGGAGGAGGAGGAGGAGGAGGAGGAGGAGGAGGAGGAGGAAGGTAAATGGAGGAAGGATTAAGGGAAAAAGCCAAAGGATGATAGAAAATGATAAACAAGCAAAGACACGACGAAATAATATAAAAGAAAAACTTAGAGACAATAGTTAGAAGTGGAAAAAAGACCTGGTATTTATATTAGGGGATCCATTGGAGTCAGCAAGTGAACTGATAGAAATGATAGAAGAGTATGAGAAAGTAGCAGGTTTGAAAATAAAGATAAAACAAAGATTTTAGCAAAGAACTTGTTAGGAAGACAAAAGAAAGAATTGGAAGTTTTGGGGATCCAGATCACAAACAAGGTTTAGTATTTAGGCATACATATAAAAGCAAGATGTGGCACGATTAAGGAGGACAATTATCTCAAAATTAAACAACAGATTGCAACAGACTTGATAAAATGGGAAAATTTACAATTATCACTGATTGATTGAATATCCGCAATTAAGATGAATGTATTGCCTAGAATCTTATACTTATTCCAGACAATTCCAATCAGATTAGGGAAAGAATTTTTTGAAGATTTAAACAAAATAGTGCTAAAATACAGTACATTTGGCAGGGGAAGAAAGCGAGAATAAAACTGAAATTGCTACAAGATGCAAGAATAAGAGGAGGATTTGCTTTGCCCAATTGGGAATTATACTACCAAGTGACAAGAAGGACATGACTTGCGGTTAGGATGGCATGCCTTCCTCTGGTATAAGGGAACTAAAACGCAGGGGTATTTTAGAAGAGATTATATTCGTGAAGCACTGTTTCTAAACTGGGAGAAGATAACAAAGCAATATTATTTAAAAATTCCACTATGGTTATCTACTATTGAAACTTTTTCCTATCCAATAATATGTAAAAAGGAACAAACAGTTAGATATGGTGAGATATTGAATGAAAAGGGTGAACTTAAATCTTTGTAAGCGTTGGAACAACAAGGTGTAAAAATGAATTGGTTTTCATATTTGCAAATACAATCTAAATTTGACAAAGATGTTAAAACAGAAGGCATCTATGATAAGTTGACTGATTTAGATAAAATTTTGAAAGGTACTGATGAAAAAGTAAAAAAAAAACTTTATGGACATTTGCTAGAGTTTAAATTAGAGGAAGAACAAGTAAAAAAACAATGATGGCTTGGGGGAAAAATTCGGGTATGGAATTGACTTAGACAAATGGCACAAATTGTGGTCTAAAAATTATAAAATGACAATGTCAACTTCATATAAAGAAAATTTGTATAAGATGTTTTACAGGTGGCACTTACCCCGATGAGAATTGCAAGAATGTTCAAGAATAAATTGAATAAATGTTGGAAATATCATCAGATACGTGGTTCACATTACCACATGTGGTGGACATGCTCGGATGCAAAAAGATATTGGACTACAATCCACACATGGTTGGAAAAATGACAAAACAGCACATAGACTTTAAAGCTGAGATATTTTTATTGGGGATTATACCGGAAATATATTGTAAAGAATTGAAATATTTGATTGTAAATGTTTTAACAGCGGCTAGAATTGTATTTGCTAAGAATTGGAAAAATGAAAAAATACCTATGCAAGAGGAAATTACTAAGAAAATCATGGACTTTGTTGAAATGAGTAAATTGACATTTGAAATTAGAGAACAAGAGGATAAACCGTTTTATATGATGTGGGATTTATTTTATCAATGATTAGATAAAAAGACATGGTAAAGAAATAGATTAGTAAGCCTTACAATAAAAGTCAATAGATTGATATAGAATACAGTATAAAATATATAACCATTGGATGAATGTATAAGATTAAATCATAATGAAAATTAGAATATCTCATAGGAAATGATGGAAAAATAGTCAAATGAATGTTTAATAATTGATATTATGTTAACATAAGCTAGATCGATAAGGTGAGAATTTATATAACTTGTGAGCAATGGTAAAAAAAGGATAGCAGAAAAGATTGTAACCAACTGACACACTTTATGTATATAATTGAAAGAGGGTTTTATGTTTTTATGTTTTGTTCGTATGTTTTGCTGTAAAAAATAGAAACTTTGTTTAAAAAAAAAGAAAGGAATAAAATAGAAAAAAAATAAAAAAAGAAGTGGAATAGAGGGAGACTCTACATGATGAGGTGTTATGACTCCCCTTCAAAATTTAAACGAACAAAACAGAAAGCAGCTGTTTCACAATTAAATCAAACAGAAAGAAGTCTTACAAGATAACGGCTGGCAGAAACCACAGCATAAATCTTTACTCTGTCCGGCAAACCAGTCCTGGCAATAAATCCTCAGCCTCAGAGCTCTTTGCTGTAACGTCCTCACTCACATAGTTATTTTGTTCCTGGCGAAATGTACCAGCCCAGCTGTGTCCTTTTATACTCATTAAGGCAACGTGCTAATTTACTGACTTGCTCTTCTCATTCGCTCCAACTGATTTTGCTTTTTCAACCGTCTTCTATTTTTTACATTTAACCACAAATTTTCCAAGTTCTCATCTCTACTAGAAGACTCTCTCAAAACTTCCCTGTCAGCCATTCCCCGCTGTTGATCAGATAAGGAACCAGAGGAGGTCAAAGGTCCTGACAATTCTAATACATCAGGTCTGTCGTCCTTTGCCATGTCCATCTCCTCATCCTGGTTATCAGTCCAATCAGTAAGCCAGGCTGGCTCATATCGTTCTGCCATGACCTCTTCACTTGAACTCATATCAATCACAGGAGCTGAATCCAAGCCTGGAGCCACAACAATGAGGTATATTTGTAGTAAAACATATATAATAGATTTTGAGGAGATGGGATTAAGAATTAGAATAAGAAGGAATTATTTAAATGTAATAGATATGAAAATAAGAACTTATAATAGATTAATTAAGTAAAATAGACAAATGTTTATGTAAGATCTAAGTGATTAGTAGATAAAATATGAAAAGAAACGTTTTGTGGAGCCTGACAGAGAATAGATATAACCATGTAGTAGTATAATATTTTAAATGAATTATATATGTGCTGTCCAGCCAGTGAATGAGAATTGGATAGTTAGGTAGCAATTGTGAGCTGTCCCCTAAGGGAATGCATCATGGTAAATGTAGTTAAAGGTATCCTGGGAAATGCAGTTGATATCACATGACCACATCTGTAATCCTGATTGGTCACTAATTTGACCCTGGATGGGTTGGGGGAGTTTTCCTCACTTTTTGCCTGAACTCCCTAACTCATGGCAGTTGCTTTCTATCACTAGGTGATGGGTTAGGAGATAACCATCTTTTATTACAAGGCAGATATGCAAAGGATTGGTCATTAAAGAAGAACTTCGTCACAAATGTGATTTATGAGGATACCTGATGAACCAATAAACGTACTTTGTTATGGACGTCTTGTTGAGTTTATCTATCTGCCTCTGCACAGATATCCACTACTGTGCTGAAGACAGAAAAATATATATATATATATATATATATGGTCATGAGGTCATAATGTTACAAGTTTGGTATTATTGGCTAAAAGAAAAGTTATTTCAGTAAAAATGAGATGTTAGAGGGAAGGGAATATATAGGAAAAAAAATGCAACAGTGGCAAGTGTAATAATGGGGGGACATTATAGGAGATAATGAAATTATAATGAATAGGAGGTAAGATGAAATTTTGAATGCTTAATGAATGGTATGAAACTGTAAACATGCTGAGCACAAGAATGATTAGTATCTTTCATGAAATATTTTATTATCTACTTGTATAAGGTAATGAAAATATATTGCTATAAGTTTGATAATATTGGCTAAAAGATAATCAGATGGAAAATGTATTTGTCTAAAAATGAGAAGTGTAAACATGTTGAAAATATGATTAAGGAAGATAGAGTAATTTTTAATGAATTAATGAACTAAATATTCTGTAAGATCTGTTATATTCTGTTTATATTTGTGTAAGGTAATGAGGATATAGTGCTGTAAATCTGACAATATTGGCTAAAAGAAAATAAGATGGAAAGTGTTTCTTGCGATAGCTATAAATTAAGGTGAAACTTTGAATGATAAATGAAATGATATCAATAGATTGAACTGTAAAGATGTTGAATATATGATTAAGGAAGATAAAGAATGATCAAAAATCAAAAGGCTCATGTGAAGTAATTTATGAGAATTTGAAGAAGAAAATATGACAATAGATAATGATGTGATGTTAGAAAGTTGTATTTGTGATTATGGACAGGATTGATTTAAAGTGTAAAACACCCAGAACCACACTGTCCTCGTAAAGAAGTATTTAAATGATTAAAAAATAAAAAAACTTTTTGCAAGAAATAATAGAGTGAGAGGGAGGGGCTTCTGGATGGAAAGAGGGAGGGAAACAGGCGATTCCTGAAGAGGATAAAAAGGAATCAGGGAGAGAAAGAAAGAGATGAATATCCAGGCAGTCCTTGACTTACGGCCACGATTGCGCCCAGAATCTCTGTTGCTAAGTGAGGCGTTTGTTCCATGAGCTTTGCCTCATTTTGTGACCTTTCTTGCCCCAGTCATTAAGTGAATCACTGTGTTTGTTAAATAAATAACATGGTTGTTAAGTGAACCCTGCTTCCCCATGAAAGGTTGCAAAAAGGGTTCAGAGGACCCTGGGACACTGTGACCGTCACAAGTATGAGTCATTGGCCAAGCACGTGGATTTGGCTCGGGGACCCTGGGAGGCTGCAGCCATCGTAAGTGTGATTGTTCTCACTTCTCTCTTTGAACCGTCACTAAGGGAACTGTTGTAAGTGGAGGAGTGACTGTATTGAGCAGGAGGGAGTGAGGGAAAGGGTGGATTCCCCTCCCCCACAAAGAAGAAAATTATATATTTGGATGGATTTCCAGGGGGGATCAAAAGGATCCCAGATCCCGGACAGGAGGAGAGTTCGGATCCGGGGGGAGAAGAGGGAGATTCCAGAGCTCTGAGAGGGCAGAAAGAAGAAGGAGGAGGCGGAACCATCACCCGGGAGGAGAATCCCCAGTGGATGCAAGGAAAGGAAAGGGGGGTCCCGGCCTCCCCCTCCCAGGGAAGAAGAGACCCTCCCTCCCCCCAGGACTCACTTCTCTGGCCGATCAGGCGCTCCTCCCTCTTGGCCTCCTCGAAGTTCAACACCTTGTAGTTGTGTCGACAGAAATGATCCACAGCGGCCTTCTGGTGCTGCATGAACTGTTTATTGCTGTTAAAATTCTCCGCATCTGCCTCCCCCAACACCGTGACGACCACATGTTTCCCGAAGTCGCTGTCAAAGCGAAGGAACTCCTGCCGGTCGTACATCTCCCTGTACAGGAACCGCACCCGCTGCGAGGAAGAGGCACTCGATCTTCCACTGGTATAGAAAATGGGCTGCCAGGAGGAGGAGGAGGAGGGCCCTCAGAAGGGACTCCAGGGCCCATCGCTCCCAGCCACCAGTAGAGGAGGAGGAGGAGGGTTCCACCAGGAAGAGGGGAGGGTGGGGGGACCTTCCTTTGAGAGACTGAAAGGAGACGCCCCTGGAGGAGGGAGGGGGGACTCTGTCACTCTGAGGGGGAGGCAGACTGGGGGGAGGGAAGAAAAGGGGAGGGGAGGAGCCAACTTAAGGGACCCCCCTCCATCCCTTATGGGGTGGGGCAGGCAGAAGCTCCACTGGTCGAGCAGATCTTCCCTCTGCAGGGAACCTTGCACCTCCTGCTCTCTCTTCCTTTGGCGGGGACGAGGAATACGGGGAGGGGCACCAGGAGGACATTAGGACTCCCACTTCTGAAGTCTCCCAGCCCTTCACCCCCCCTTCCCTGGATCCCCCCCCAACTTTTCTTCTTCCCCAAATCTTCAGCCCATTTCCGTCCCTTTGGGTGACTGTCACGGATCCCACGTGTTTCCTTTCCCCCTCCCCAAAAAGACCCCCTGAAGCCCCCCAAGAGCCTCTCAAAGTGGGGGTCTCCAGCCCCCAATCACTAAAGGGGGAGCCACTTTCGGAAGAGCAACTCAGAGCCCCCCTCCCTCCGTTCTCCCCTCCCCCTCCAGGTCCCGATAGAGCCAGTGGGGGATTATGGGGGTGGGGGGTTCTTGGTCCCCTCCCCAAATTCAGAGCCTCCCCCAGAAGGGACTGAAGCTCCCCTCTTGCCTGACCTCCAAAGCCTCAAATCTGAGATTCAGAAGAAAAAGCGAAGTTTCTGCAGAAGCCAAAATTCTTTGGCTCTTTTTCCTTCTGGGGCTTCAGGGCTGAAAATGCCTCAGTTTCCCTCTTTCCGCTTTCGCTTTTCCTTCCCTGCCTCTTTCCAGGCAGCCCACTCCCACCCAGACAATGGGGGGAGAGAGGGCCCGGCTGCGACCCCCCCCCGCTACAATCGGGGAACAAGTGAGGGGCCCCTCTCGCTCCTCCTGGGTGGGCAATACAGGTAGGGAAGGGTAAGGAGACCACGCAGAGATCGAGTCACTTGGGGGCCCTGGAGATCCACCAGCTTCCTTCCCCCTCGGGGTTCCTTCCCACCCCCTCCTCCCACACCCAGCCCCCTCCTTACCGGGGGTCTCCTTCCCCACTTCGCTTCCGGGGATCCGGCCCAGCGCCCCCACCAGCAGCACCAGGGGGAGCCCAGCCAAAGCCATGGATGCCGCCCCACAAGCGCCCGCAAAGAGAGGCGAGAAGGACGTGGAGGCTCCCGGCCCCCCAGGAGGACTCAGAGGGTCTGAACTGGGGAAGGCGGAGTTTTCCCCGCACTTCGGAACTGGGAGGGTCCAGAAAGAGCGGGATGACCAATGAGAACCCTCCGTTCTTGCAGCATCATCGGTCTCCGGGCAGAGTCTCCCTTGACTTCAGCCGATGCAGGAGACAGTTCGGCGCAGAGCGAGAAGCGGAGAAAGTGGGAGGGGGATCCTTGCAGTCTTGGGGGGCTGCATTAATCTCGGGGGACCTTCCTGAGGGCTCCATGCAGAGGGGCTGGGGGGGTGGGCTTCGGTGGGGGAAGCGATGGTGAAAGGGAGTCTCAGAGGCTGGAAGGGACCTTAGTGGTCTTCTAGTCTGACCCCCTGTCCGAGGCAGGAGGAACCCTTATCCCACTCCGGACAAAAGGCCATCCAGCCTCTTCTGGAAATCCCTCCTGATCCCTTCCAGGTCGGATCCCCCTCGGAGGCTTCAGACGATCCCATTTCCCCTCCCAGTGGGATCCCCCTTCTCCGGGCTTCTGTCAGCTGAGGGGCAATGCCTGGAGACGCTGCCCCACTCCGGGATCTGCTTCTGGGATCCCAAGTGAGCGAGGGAGAAGATCCCCAGGGCAGGAGGGGGACTCCGGTCTCTCTTCCCCTCCAGGAAGAGTCGCAAGCAGAGTTTCCTCCCACCCAGAGCCCAGCCAAGACCCCCGATCCCCGCTTCTCTTCCAGCCCAAGCCCAGAATTCAGGCAGGTTCCCCGTCTGAGCAGTGGCTCTACCTGGGCCCCCCTCCCCAATTCTCAGCCGAAGGACAAAGGACCCTCCACGCAGACCCACACACACCACACAGCTTCTTCGTCCAACCCCCATCAGCTGCAGAGGCGCTTCGGTTCCGCTTCCCCAGCCTAAAGCTTTGGGCTCCTCCGAAGCGGAACTAAGGAACTGGCCAGGATCCAGCAGGCAACAAACCTGGATTCTTCACCAGGGCAGCTCAGGGACTGTCCTCCTCTGCCCCATGGCTGAGTCTCCAGGTGGGACAGCCCCTTGTTCCTCTGACCCACTGGAAGTGGCTGAAGGGGCCCTTACGACTCCCAAGGAGACCTCGGAGAACCCAGAAAACAACCTGATGGAGGGTTGGACAAATGTCACTCAAAAGACCCAAATTCTCCCTCTTCAGAACTGGTTTTTCATAGTAGTTTGTTAAAACCATTTGTAACTTCCTCATTGAGGCCAGCAGAAAGTGCAGCCCCGAAGCCTTTGCTCATTGCGGGGCATGAACATTATGAGGCTAAGAAAATCTTGGGACTCTGTGATTTTAGAGGGAAGTTACAATATCTAATTTATTGGAAAGGCTATCCTATTTCACAAGCAACTTGGGGAAATAGCTGGATAATGTAAACTGGTGGAAAAATTCCATGAAAAATATCTCCAAGCCCATAGCGGATCCTGCTGTGGCAGAGGAGGTTAAATTGCTTTTATTTGACTTTGGAGGTGGGAGGGGCCAGAACGAACGGCAACACCAATGGAAACTCTCCCTGCTTCAGCGTCATCGTGAAGTCCTTTGTGACTTCAGCTGAAGGAGGAGGGAGAGTTCAGCGCAGAGAGCGAAAGTGAAAGTGGGAGGGGGATCCCTTCAGTCTTGGCGGGCTGAAGCTCAAGGAGGGGTTCATGGCAGCCCCAGAAGGGACCCTCCACTTTCTTTGCTCTCTTCCCGATTCTCTGCCAGGGATTCCCGCTTCCCTCCCCTCTATCTCCCCACATTGAGATCAACAACCGCCCTTCTGGAACCAAAGACCGACCTTCCATTTGCGGTGGGTCAGAAAACCCCTCAGCGGTGGGGATGCAACCGGCCCTCCGGCAGCCCCTTTGCCAGGAAGGGAGCCAAAGGCAGAAGATTCGGGGGGGGGGACTGGGAGGGCCGTGACCCCAATCCCAAAACACCCGGAGCAGCCCTTGAACCCCCCGGGCATGGACAAAATCCCGCTGGGTCAATTGCGGAAGGCAGCTCTGCTTGGAGCGGCTTCAATCCCGCGAGGAGAGTTTTCAGCCACCCGACACGCGCATCGCGTCTCCCGGGTCCTCGGAAGGGCTCGACGGGTGGACAAAGAGGCCGAATCCCGGCTGAACATCGCCGGCCGCCTCCGAGAAGCGTCTCAGCCAAAGGACCCGAGGTGGCTCCTCTGCCTGGAAACGGATGACGCTCCCGGAGCTCGATTTTTCATTGGGTGGGACGCATATTCGACTTTCTGAAATAGAATTCCACGGCGCTGCCCCTCCCCCCACTTGCTTTCTCCTTCCCCCTCTCCCTCCTTGACCCCCACCCTCCTCCCTCGCAATTTCTCATCCCCCCTTACTTTCCCCTTCCCTCCCCCTCGCTCTCTTCGCTCCCCTTCACTCTCCTCCCACCCTCCTCTCTGCCCCTCCCTCTTCCCCCTCGCTCCCTCCCCCAGTTTTCCCTCCTGCTCTGGGTGGGCAGCCTTTCCTCCCTCCTGAGACAAGACTGGGGGCCGGGCTTCCTCCTGCACCTGAGAGCGGCAGCAAAGGGGGGATCGTTCTGGGGTGTCAGGAGCATAAAGTGGGCTTGGAGACCCCAATTACCTCCCTTGCGCCCTGAGCCTCAGGAAGGTGGGAAAGGCTAAAAGGCTTCTGTATTTAGAGGAGGGGGCAAGGACCAGGGAAGATGAGACCCCGTTTTTCTGCCCCATTTAGGGTTTCCTCTCCACTCTAACTTTGTCCCCTCCCGCTGGACAAGGGGAATTGGGTTCCCATAAGGTCTTCCGAACTGAGAAAGGGGGGAGGGGGAGAGTTTGAGGGAGATGACCAGGCAAGGCTGAAAGAGGGAAGGGAATCTTTTGAGGGAGGCGAGTTCAAGGGGACCCGGAAGCTTCGGCCTCCTTGTCCTGGAGGAGCTTCAGCCTCTGCAGCAACCCCAATGCTTCCTGGTGGTCTCCCATCCTTAGGCTAAGCAGGCTGGTCCTTCTCGGCCAGGGGAGGCCATGGGAGGCTGGGCAGCTGCAGTCTGTTGAAAGCAGATGATGAAAGATCGGCTGATGGTTGGTGATGCCAGATCAGGCCAGGGCTCAGAGCCACAACCCTCCCCCAGCTGCAGCAGGCAGGCATCCCACAGGGCGCCTATCCTGGGATGACCTGGATCCCCCCTGCCCCCTAGTTAACTCCCATCTCTCTTTTTTCCTGTCCCACAATTATGTCTTTGGACACACCCAGTCACACAACATGGGCCCAGATCCATCCCTCTCCTGGTCAAAGCAGAACTTCTAGGCTCTTCTCATGTTTTCCCTTCCCTGCAAGATTGGGATTTCCTCTGTGTTCTTCCTGACACCCCCACATACACACACACACACACACAGAGCAGCACTTCTTCCTCCAACCCTCATCAGCTGCGGAGGCGCTTGGGATCCGCTTCCCCAGCCTGAAGCTTTGGGCTCCTCCGAAGCACAACTGAGGATCTGGCCAGGATCCAGCAGGCAGCAAGCCTGGATTCCTCACCAGGGCAGCTCAGGGATTGTCCTCCTCCGCCCCATGGCTGAGTCTCCAGGTGGGGCAGCCAAAAGGTCCTCTGGCCCACCGGGACTTTTTCATTCCTCCCCACATGAAAGTGGGAAAAGGGATAAGAAGAATCTGTGGACGTCATTATTTCTGGAAGCCCCTCAGTCGCCTCTTTGATAGCTGCTCCCGGGA